GWYYTTTTWTTTGTCCTGATGTGCAAAACAATAATAAATACTAAAATTCACAATATATTTTTTAGTTTTATAATATCACCTCCACTGACCGTAAAGGTTCCTGAAAAGGCCTCAAAGAGGACCACGAACCACTAGTTGATAATCACTGTTGTAGCTTGTTTTGCGGCTCTGAACACATTTTATTAGYGAGACAAGCAGCAGAAATGGCTCTTTTGATCATAATTGTTGCAGACCCCTGCTCTAAACAAACAGAGCGGGCAGTTTAAGTTCACTCGGCGTTTGGGGGGGGAACTCTTGCCATGGTTTTTTAAAAACCCTCCAGAGCTGCCAAAGTTACGCCGCGGTTGCTTAACGCAGCGCAGGATTCGTGTACAGAAGCAATCTAAACAAAAGAGATTTATGMACACGGACTGTCACACAAGCCCCGTGATGAATCTGAAGCTGGCGAGGGCTGTTTGGCATCAGTTCACAAAGAAATCTCAAACATAAACTGATCGCAGCCTGAAATAGACGGCGGGTGGGACAGAAAACACTTGAACGTTCAAGCAGGGGGAACGTGAGCTAAAACCTGCAACAGATTTCCTTTATTTAAACTCTGGATTAGACGCTGCAGCCAGTCCCCTCTGGGAGGTGAAAGGTCAGCAAACAACGATTTGAAAAAAACAAACAAAAAAAAAAAAGCCAGAATGAAAGATGGCTGGTTATCAGGGGCTCACAGACCTGCTGCTGGTAAAAACCTCTCCACTCCAGCGTCTGGCAGTACGCCTTCAGGTCCTGGGCGAAGGTGGTGCTGCCGTTGGTGAGGGGCAGGTTGGGCAGGTGGTCCTGGAGGACGACGGGGTCGGCGTGCTGGTCGAGGAGCGTGCGAACGATGGGCACCAGCTGGGAGAAAGTCTCAGACGGGCCGTTGTCGGCGTCGTCCAGTTCACCACCTGGCCACAGGGGGGCGCCAAGCTTCCCCAGCAGGAAGCAAACCTCCTCCCAGCTGAGGCAGAGGACCGTCTGGAGGAGGCTGTGYAGCTTCAAGTAGGCCATCTCACACAGCTGAAGGGAACATTTAATAAGGCTTTTATCAAAGAGGAAAAGTAGAAAGTTTGATTATTTTTTAATTACTCAGGCAAACAAAGGGTAAAACAACAGAAAAAGCAAGTGTTTCAGATTTATTTATAGGTTGATTTGTGGAAAATTGGTCGTCACATTCCGCAGTGACTGCAGGCAATTATTGTAATTGTGTCTCTCAGTGTCTTTAACTTTTGTTTCAAACTTTGGCACGCCAGGCGGAACGCATTCACGTATGTAAAAGATACTTGTTGCCAACTACCGGTAAGTACAAATACTTTGTTAATGTACTTATATAGAATTTTTGTGTAACTGTACTTTACTTGAGTAATTATTTTTCAGCCTACTTTTTACTTTCTACTCCTTACATTTTTTAAAAAGGTAAGAAGTAGAAAGTCGTTACTTTTATTTCATTTTTGCTTGTTTTCATTGCAGCTTGTTATTGTAAAAAATAAATACTATCCATATAAATTGTGCCTTCTAGATAGTGAATTTAACTGTGGTTGAATGAGAAGTATAAATATATAAAACTCTGATAGCGTATTAGTTTGTACACAACAAATCATGTCCCACTCCAGCAGGACAGAATCATTAAAGTAAAAGGACTGTACTGAAGAAGTATTTGTATTTCATGAATTATATTATTACATT